TGCTCGTTTGCTCGTTTGCTCGTTTGCTCGTTTGCTCGTTTGCTCGTTTGCTCGTTTGCTCGTTTGCTCGTTTGTTCGTTTGCTCGTATGGTCGTTTGCTCGTTTACTCGTTTGCTCGTTTGCTCGTTTGTCCTTTGTTCCCTCCTTTCTTTCCTTCGTTCATCTACAGCCACTCTTAAACACTTATCGTTCGTTTGGCTCAGCTGGTGTACGTACACTCTTGGTCCGGTCTTTCGGTGACACGCGCTCTTTCATAATTCCCAAGTTTGTATTTTGTCAATATTCTCATTTAACGCATTTGTGTTTGTAGCTCTTCCTGGATAACCTGGAGTCATTCATAAACCAAGTGGAATCTGTTAACTTCATCAATCTCTTCCTTACAGATCTCAAGTATGTACTTTTGTCTCCTTACTAGGCAAAACCATAAAAGTCTCTCCCAACGTGTTTAACAGTGTCTACATGACATAACCAAGAGATTTTTCAGTTGAAGTTTTCAGCCTGTTGTGATAAACGAGACCACTTTTTGCGTTTGATTTGAGCTCTAATGTACAGTCGTGCTAAAAGTAGCGAGCACTCTTGACTTATTGTCTGGTGTTTGTTTGTTTTTTCTTTGTTTGTTGTTGCTGTTGTTGTTGTTGACAATTGCGAATGCAATGTTACCCCACTCGGCAGTGCATGATGTTACAAAGCGGAAAGCAGAGACCGTGTTATAAAATCATTTGAAGTGTATACGTTTGAGTGTTAGCCCTTGAGGGAAAATGGGGGACCACACGACATAAAGGAATGAACTGTGACCTCGGTGGGAATCGAACCCACGACCCCTGGATTAGATTACTACTGACTCTACTGACTGAGCTACAAGGCCAGGCGTGAGCAGGTGGTTAGTAATTATGGTGGTAGTTCTTGGCAAGGTAGATATTAAGGGTACAATGTTACGTTACTTTGTTTGTTTGTTTTCCTTTTTAAAGAGAGGATGACGTGACTGTCACGATGTATGCTGATTATTACTCAGAACCGAGACAATCGTGAGTCATTTTTGTAATATTATGTTAGCCGCGCACATGAAAAAAAAAAAAATGAAGGACCCGTCCATATTACGCCGGAGAAATTTGAAAACGCAGCTTTCTTTGTACGGTTAGGCCTACCGTCCACACGAATCCGTCACGAAAACGGAGCTTTAGCGAGAACGCTCTTCAAACCGGAGGAATTTGAAAACGCCGGGTTCGCGTTTCAGTGTGGACGGAAAACACTTTGAAAAACGGAGCTTCGAAAACGATGAAGCGATAATCATGTGATTTCCCGCCCGAGGTTTCCTCAAACACAAATCTAAAATGACCGGCGATTGTTGCCTTTTTAGATTCCTCTGCTGTAGTCTAGACTGAAAACATTTCTTCAGCGTCGTGTTGACGGGGTTTTAATTCGCTTAATCTTTGCCCGAGGGCGATCTTTGAACGATGTAAGTCGCGAAAAGTTGTCCTTTCCAACAAGGAGCCCAACAGGCCGGGGATATTTTCTTGGAAAAGACTAATAGAAAGTCTACAAAAATATTGCGAGAACCCCGTAAGAAATCAATAGTTATATTCAGTATTCTCTAGTAAGCATCTTGCGAAGTCTACCACAATGTGTGTACTGTTTTTGTTCTGGACTGAGGTAGTCTTCCTTTCAACAGATCAGCGGTATCTGCTACAGACAGCAGTAAAGTTGATCGAGTTTGTGAAGCCTTGCGAACCGCGTTAGATGCTGCTGGCCATAACAAGTAAGTTTGAGTTGCTAGTTTTAGGCTTGTCTTGAATGTCAGCCCTTACCAAAAAATAAAAAATAAAAACAAATACTTATACGAGTTAGTCATGCCCACAGGGTGAAACAAAACAGGTCCGTTGCAATCTCGTTTCCAAAGTCTTTGTTCCCCTCGACCAGCGGTCGGAAAACGAGAGCTCTGGGAGCAACCATTTTGAAATAACCGAATTCTGCCCATCCAGTTTTACTGCGCAGTCTGCTTCTATGGCGCACGCCTGAAATAGTTGCTCCCAGAGCTCTCGTTTTCCAACCGCTGGTCAAGGGGAACGAAGACTCTGGGAACGAGATTGGGTCCGTTGGGGAGTTTCTTCTCTTGTAAATCTTACTATGTGCTTAAACTTCTTAATTTTTCTTCTTATAATATATACCATGACTTCTTACCATGACTGGAAATGAAGACATACATAAGGATTTTAGTGCAGACCAGTGTATGGGGAACCTGGTCAAGTTTATTTCCAAGTTCTGGAACTTTCATTGGAGACTTGTTTGTCAGCTCTCTATCATTGTTGCACAGATTTCGAAAACTAGTGGAGTGTTGAATGTTTGTTTTTACAGATATCTTCTTTCCATCTTAACCACGTACGTGAAGAAGAACAACCCAGCGCTAGAGAAAGTTTTGACCATCATGAAGGATTTGAAAGGTGTGTACATTGTAGGGCAGCAGGGATGACCCAGTGGTGAGAGCGCTTGCCTCCCACCAATGTGCTCCGGGTTCGATTCTGGCCCGGTGCCATATGTGAGTTGGTGGAGTCTGCTGTTGGTTCTTGCCTTGCTCCGAGGGTTTTTCTCCGGGTTCTCTGGTTTTCCTTCCTCCACAAAAACCAACAATTTGATTCCAATTCGACCAGGATAGAGGACCTTCGTGAAAACCAGCAAAGGCTGATGTGGCTTCCTCTCTAAATATTGTAATTTATTTATTTATTTGTCTTACTAAAGTCTGTGGATTAGTCCTCAGTGTTTGACTAACCGTCCAAATGAAAGCTATTGAGCAGTACTTTCATGTGGTTCTGTTTATTATGCTGTACAAGGTGGTTCTAACTTTCAAGTCTGTACATGAAACCCTAGTGTGTGACCATTCAAATGAATGCTATTGAGCAGTCCTTTCATGTGGTACTGTTTATTATGCTGTACAAGATAATTTTGACTGTGTTTAGTCTTTGAATAAAAACATTGTGTTTGAACATTGAAATGTCGAGAATTACATTTTAAATCTGTTCTTTGACTGGAACATACATGCCGGCAACGATCAACTTTCCCTTTTCTCTATTTTACAGCGAATCCTTTAAACACAACTGAACCTGGATCTGTTACGTCAGAGGAAGCCCTTAAATACGTTCTCTTTTTGGTAGATGTCAATCAAATGTATGACGTAGCGCTAGGAATGTACGATTTTGAGTTGGTGCTCATGGTCGCTGAAAAATCACAAAAGGTGAGATGAAAATAGCTTCTGTTTCCGGGTTTTTGTGCGCCTTAGGCCCCGTCAGTCCTCACTGTGCCAGAGAAATTTGAAAACGGCGTCAAGTTTTCACTCTGAAAACGCATTAAATGTTTTTCGTCCACACTACGCCGGAGAAACTTGGAAACGCAACGGTCACCGGTCATTTTGGATTTGTGTTTGAGGGAGACTCGGCCAGGAAAATCACGTGATTGTCGTGATGTCATCTTTTTTGAAAAGCTCCGTTTTCAAAGTGTTTTCCGTCCACGCTAAAACGCAAAGCCGGCGTTTTCAATTTCCTCCGGTTTAAAGAGCTTTCTCGAAAGCTCCGTTTTCGTGACGGATTAGTGTGGACGGTAGGCCTAACCGTGGAAATAAAGCTGCGTTTTCTAATTACTCCGATGTAGTGTGGACTAGGCCTTAGCTTATGCTGATTTACTAGAGCACGGAAATCAAAGTCTTCAATTCACTTCCTTATTTTCTCAGGATCCAAAGGAATATCTGCCATTTCTAAACAACCTACGGAAAATGGAGACGAATTTCCAGCGATACTCCATAGACAAGTACCTGAAACGTTATAGCAAAGCTATTCAACACCTGAGTTTATGCAGTAAGTTGAAAAACCCTTAGTGATTTAGAATGAGAATGATGTGAACTGCGAAAATACAATTGAAGTAAAGATGTGATCATCATATTTGTAATCGTAATTTGAGCAGTTGCAAATTATGCCCGAAAAACCGAGTAACTCCATATAATAGCCTGCCCCCAATGTAGGTAGAGCATTGTAGCGCTAACGTAGAGGCCATGGGTTCGATTCCCGTCGAAGCCCTCAAAATTTCGGTATTTCTTCAGTGATGTTAGAGTTACTTCCTGAAGGATTAGTTAGGGTTTTAGTGGGGAAGACGTTTTTAGTTAATGCCACTCTTAACGTTGTTACTTTGCACGTTGGTTTTTAAGTGCTCTGTAATTTCATCGAAAAAATAACGTGTTATTGTAAAATGGCAAGTTCGTGATATGAGGATCGTTTTATTTTATTTTAATTTATTTTTTTATTTTTTCAGGCCCTGAACATTTCGAAGAGCTTGTTTCAATTGTGAAAGAAAACTGTTTATTCAAAGAGGCGCTGAAGCTCTACCCACAATCCAGTGAACAGCACAGAGTATGTTAAACATCAGCAATTGGCTGTCTGGTTGGACATGTCTTTACCACTGTCATTTACTACTGTCTGACTGACTGTCCACTGACTCAAGCGGAGTAGACGAACTGACCGACCAAAACCCCACACACCCACTGACAAAAGTCCAAGTGGGTGAAACCTCACCCACCCACCCATCCAGCGGCTAACAGACTGTCGACTGACTGTAACTGTCTGTCTGTCTGTCCTCAGGAGCTGTCAATTGCCTATGGCGAGCACCTTGTTTCAAACAAGAGATACGAGGAAGCTGGTTTAGGTATTATGAACCAACGTTTCTCTGTTTTAAGCAGTCAAGAATATCTTGACCCTTCTTAAATATTTGTCCTCTTACAAAAAGTAAGATTTTTTCCCTCTTTACAGTATTTACCCGTTCTGGAGCCCACGAACAAGCGTTGTCCTCATTCCAGAAGAGCGGAAACTGGAGACAAGTGTTTTGTATGGCTTCTCTCCTGCATTACACAGGCGAACAAGTGATTTCATTGGCTAGAACTGTGGCAGGTACGAGAGTCACTTTACACTCTCCGACATTGTGAATGAGAAGGTTTTCAGTCAGGAAAGTGTCTTAGTCGTTACTGAATTGTAAACCTGACAGTTACAGCACAGTTGTTATTTTTGATCATTTGTTTGTTTTGGGTCAAACGAAGAAATGATTCCAGTTTTCACGGCAACTGTTTCTTCTTTATGTTGTTTTTGAATCTGGTCTGTTGTGCATGTAGAGGCTTTTAGTGACCTAATTTCTTGCGGTTTAATTTGTTTGTTTGCCATAATGCAGGTTATTTGCAAGGACACAAGCGTCCTCTTGAAGCCTCTAGGGTCTTGGAAGAATACGCCAAGGTACGAAAACTAATGACGTTTGATGTTGACAAATCTTTCATACATCGGATTGTTTGCTTTGCTGTTAATCTGTCGATGGTTCAAATCATCAGTGGGTATAAAAGGGGTCTCTCGTCGTACGATTAAATCATCCCCCCCCTCTAAGGAGCTCTGGCACCGTAAAACTCATGCAGCCGCTCTGATTGGGTGTTTTTCGTGCGTGAAAATTCTTAGCCAATCAGAGACACTATACGAATGGCTGTAACGTTTCGTCGCTCTTGTTATGGATTTGAGCATGTTAAGACCTGCGGCGTATCAAGTAATTACAAGACGCGTAACTGTACGCTAAGTGCTTTAGTGAAAACTGGTTTCTCAGTTAGAGCTTTAGATGGTCTATTGTTTTGTAGGACCCCGAGGAGGCGATAGCTGCTCTTATAGACGGAATGCAGTGGGAAGAAGCGTTGAGATTGGTGAGTGAAGCATCCGATGTCATTTGTCTGTCAGGATGCACGCGTATTTGCACATGCGGCACACACATTAGTAGACTTATAACTGTCCCTTCAAAGGCGCAGCGTGAAATGACCAAGTTTTATTCTATACATTTAATCTAGGACACAAGCTACCGGTGTAAATTTTGCATATTTCTTCTTTGAGATGACCATTATCTTCACAGGCCAACACCTATCCGTTGTTTTGACAGATGTATAAACACGAGCGCACAGATATTGTGGAGACGCATCTGAGAGGCGCGTTAGAGGAAGGTTTGTAATATAACGGACAAAATATTTAACAAAGATCACTGAAAGATTAGACGTTGGGTGCAATGCATTCCATTCTGATGACGTAGCACTACATTGATTCATGAAACGTCTCTGATTGGCTGTTTCTTGCGCGAGAGAGATAGTAACTAAGCAAATTGACTGTCAGTCATCAAGGCTTTACGAGAATTGAACCTCGCGAAACTTTAATCATCAGAAAACAAGAACAATTTTCCTGTTTGGCAGAACAAACTATTGTCGAATCATCGTAGCATCTAATAATCATTTTCCTTGCAGTTCTAACCAGTCTTTCTTGTAAGGTTTTGCCGAACAATACCTGGAAACCTCGCTAAGGCATAAGTCAAGGCCGTACCTAGTAAAAGGCAAACCAGGGCACTTGCCTCAGTCATTTAGCTTTTGTTTGTTTGTTTTTGTTGTTTATAGCCATCACAAACACCCTAAATACCTAAGGGGAAAATTTAACCATGGACATTACCTCAGTCATAATTTTTTCATGACATTAAAAAACATTTGTATACGAACCAAGGGGCCTATCATCCGGAGTTTATCCCGGTTTCTGTAGCATCAAGCGACTAGGAGTATTTTTACACCCCCCTGGATGGGATGCTAGTCCATCGCAGGGTTACCTCCAGCATTAAATTCGCCGCTGCGCATTGTACTCCTGGGTGAAAAGAGGCACTGTGAGAGTTAAGTGTCTTGCCCAAGAACACAACACAATGTCCCCGGCCAGGGCTAGAACCCAGGCCGCTCGATCCGGAGACAAGCACACTAACCACGAGGCCACCGCGCCTCCACACTTCGATTGACATTGCCTCAGTCATTTTTTTTTTCTGGCTACAGCCCTTTAAGTGCGACGATAAATGATCTTTCTTGCAGCATTCAACAATAACATGAGCACGATAGAAGATCAGAAGGGATTATATGATAAATATACCAAGCGGCTTCAAGTTGTCAGGGATATAAAAGAGCGCCAAAATGTAGAGTTTCAAGGTATGTGATTGTGTCACTCGTGAACTGTGTTGTTTAATATTTGTCAGCAAATAAGTGTCTTCATTGCAATCCCCTTCCTAGAAAGCATGATAGGTATTTACATTTGAAGTAGCAAGGTTTTTATCAAAACAGAGTCAACTTTAGCTTCGCTGCTCTTCAATCGCTTGGTCACCAAGCACGGAACGGTAAAATACGTTATTGCTAATTATAATCCATCTGATATTTTCGCTTACGCGCGATTGGTCTGAACGCATCACGTGACTGAATATGCTCCGGCTAGAACTGGGAAATATCCGAGTGATATTCCTCAATTTTCAAAACTGCGCATGGTGCGAAAAATACTTGAAGGATGATAAACACAATAGCCTCCATTTGCGCGAAAATATGCTCGGAGATTTGTCCTAGGACATTACCTGTTCTTCAAAGCTTACAGTTTTCTTCAAGCTACGCTCTCGGAAAACTGTTTGCTTCTCGGAACAGATAATGCCCGCGGACAAATATCTGGGCATATTTTCGCGCCAAATGGAGGCTATTGTTTGTATATCCTATGCTTGCACCTTGTAAATTTGCATTTTATTTCGTTTTTATTTTATTTTTCAACAGAGAGTGGCCTGGCACGAGACGATACAGACCTATACTCCGATACGAGTAGTGTGGGAAACAACTCCGAATATGGAACTAGCACCAGTTCACGTGGGACGAGATCAACCGGGTAGGCACCAGTCTCATCCTATAACGGAGAAATTTTATCTATTTTGCTTACTTACCTTTCTGAGAAAATTAAAATATTTCTTGACAGGAGATCCTCCAAAAATCGTCGTAAAACTGTACGGAAGATGTACAGCCTGAAAGAGGGAAGCAAGTTCGAGGACTTTGCTTTAATGGAGGCACTTTCTGACATCACTCAAGCTGTGAGCAAGTCAACTGGTATGAGCCATGTTGAATGGGATTTCTTTGTCTTCTAAATCCATGTGCTTTGTGTAGCCCCGGGGGTATAACCCTGAACTTCCTACTCGGTTTGACAACTAAATTGTGTTTGTTGAATCCTGTTTGCATTTCTTTTAGATAATGGTTTCTTTGGAGATCATGTGAAGACGAGTTAAGATGTCGTAACCTTACTCCTTGTAAAGATTCGTTAGAAACTTCCAAGTCCATCCTGTGTAGAACTTCGGGTAGTTTATATTGTGTTAGTCGTATTTCCGTTCTTAGAATGTCTTTGATATCGCTGTGATTCGACTTTCACTTGCTCTAGAAAGGGACACATATCCAAAATGACTGCTGACAAACTTTGCAGGAGTCTTTCAGCCAATACCATCAACTGACCGACTCTTTCAACGGACCAGACTTATAACACCATCGACTGACAAACGCTATTCACTTGACTCTGAAGATGACTTCCGCTCAGGTTGTCGAAACATCAGTCACCGACAACAGTTCTTTTCAGAACTACCCTCACCCGGACGATGAACAAGACGAACTGCTGATACTCATTTACATTGTTTGTGAATTGGATTTTTCAAATGTGATTCGATTTGCAGACGATGTAGCGGCATTGCTTAAGATGTTGGTGTTGTTCGATCACGAGGAACAAGCTGCCCTTCTTCAGACCAACTTTCAACAACTTATCGCAACGATCGAGACGTCAATAGCCATTGTATGGCCTCCTGAGGAGACCTCTAGCAACGTGAATCACGTCTCACAGGTTTGTGAAGCTCAGTGATCAAAATCTAATTTCTTCTTAAAACGGCAATACATTTATAAATTAGGAGATGGAGAGAAGACAGGGAATGATCAGCTTGGAGATAAGACGTGATGTACTGCCAAATTCTCTAAACTATCGCTAAAGGAAAGGTATGCTATTCGGTGAGGAGAATTAAAATTTTGACTGTGGTTCAAAATATTTTGAAATACTTTGTCTTATTTGTTTGCCACACAAAAAATTCAAATATCTAGAATTTCGTCCTTTTGAAGTTCACTAAACCTTTTTTTCTCCAAAATATTCTCAGTATAATCTGCTTTAGTTGGGAAACAGTTCAGTGTTCTTGGCGAGCTACAGTACGTCATTAGTTAGGTTCATATGAGACACGCGTGCTTGGTAAGTATCAGTAGTGTCGCGGACGACGCTGATATCCGTTTCGTAAACGGTCGATGCCATCATTGGTAGCCAAACCTCTCAGAATAGACGATGCCATATCTGCTTTAGTTTAGGCCTGGACAAGGTAGAAACTGGTTATAATTTGTTGGAGTAAAACGCATTCACAAATGCTTAATTGTTCGTTTTCACATTGGTTTACTTGCGGTTACCTTTTATTTGATGGTTGGGGCAACTCTATCATTAATATTAAGAAATACACGTTTTCTATTTAAATTTTGCTGAGATTTGGCGGATCAACCTGGTAGTGTAGTGGTATAAGCTAAGAGGGATGTTAGGAAACAGAGGTTCCGGATTCGATACTGGGTGGTTACTTTCAAATTTTCTTTTTTCTATAATTTAGTAGAGAAAAATTCGCGAATATGGTATCGGCCGTTTACGAAACGGACAACTGCGCTGACATGCAATGCCATGCCATGCTGTGCCGTACCGTGACGTGCCGTGACGTGAAGTGAAGTGACCTGCCGTGCCGTGCCGTGCCGTGCCGTGCCGTGCCGTGCCGTGCCGTGCCGTGCCGTGCCGTGCCGTGCCGTGCCGTGCCGTGCCGTGCCGTGCCGTGCCGTGCCGTGCCGTGCCGTACTGTACTGTACCATGGTGTGCCTTGCTTTGCTGTGCTCTGCTTCTGTTATGCTGTGTCGTGCTTTATCATTCCATTCCATTCCATCCTAACCAATTTTATTCTAGTTTAGTCTATCCTCTTCTAATCTATTTATCTCATTTTGACGCAGTAAACACATACAAGTAGAAAAATGGCGCGTACTGCCGTGTTATTTTTCTTATGTCTTTGCATTCTCTCACAGGTTTTGCTTTTGTTATAATCCACATTTCAGGTGATGGGCCCAGGAGCGACTGTTAACAGCATCATTGCAGCTATGAGGAGCGACCAAAGTACTACATCAAATAAAACTAAAGGTGATGTGTTATTTCGTACTTCCAAGATGTCTTAAATCACGTTTTCTTTATGGAAGTCATCGTTTTATCATAACGGACCTGTCATATCTGTTGGAGTCTTGACAGTTCGTGCACCACATCTGGCCAATCACAGCTGATTCATATAACGTAATGCACCAATCAAGCGCGAAGAAAACGAACGCAACCGTTGCCAAGCGCGGGAAAATTAAGTGAAAAGCGCGGAAAAACGCGACAAAGCCAAGTCACGATTGGTTTTGTTTTGGCTCACGACTGGCTAAAACATGTCTACTTTGATTGGTGACAGCATAAAGCAAGTTTTTCTAAACCGATATTTTTCTATATCTCAATTTTTTTCTATGTTTTCTGCAGATGAACCAGAAAGACCAAAACCTCCAAATGTTAAGATAGCGACGAACTGGAAACTGGAACAACTCCAGTGACAATGAACAACTTTTCAAGCCACTCGACCAGGTCAAACTCAAAGATTAATCCATCCAATTTACATGGTTTGCGCAAATTGGCTTTTGCCCAAGGTGACCTGATAGCATATGCAATTATTGAGACAACGCTGGCTTCTTCAGGGAGTGGTGAAAAATAGCAGGAACTTGGGAGGCGCAAAAGCAGGAGAGAAGAAAAAGAATTTCAAGCGGAGAAACGCGAGAGGTAAAAATCCAGCGCGGGAACTGGGGCGTGCGGAAAAGAGCGGGAAAACAAGACTGTCACGCAACGAAAATGTTAAGAAGTGTCACTTTAATAGAGGGCCTTTTAAGGCAGGCGTGGACTACAACAGATTCAGCACGTAAAGAATGCTGGACCTTACGTTGACGTTGAATGACCGACGTGTTGAAATTGGTTGGTAGTCGTGCAATAAACGTCATTGAATAAATAGATCAATATATGAAGACTTTTACCCTGATACATAGTTTTAATGTAAATTAGTAATTTGGAAACTCTTTTGCTTGAGTAGCGCCATCAGCTCTGGATTGGGTTCTGGCCAAGTTCTTTAATCAGCAGTTGGTCTCCTGGAAACAAGATTGGTATAACTTTGAAACTCATGCCTGATTAGAGGAAGGCCGAGGATTTTTGCTCACTAAGAAGTTTCCTGTTTCACCTGGGGGATGTCCACATTACCTGCTAGTTTACCTGTAAATAAAACTGAGTACCAAAAATAAATTAAATTCCCCTGTTCACTTTGAGACTTGATGTAATCACTCTGACCAATTACAAATTATACAGACAGTCCAATGAACCAATCAAAACCCAAAGAAAACACGTGCAGTCGACAGAAAACGCGGGAAAACGTGTGCGAGCGAGTCGCTATTGGTTTTGGTTTTACGTCTGATTGGATGACAAAGAGGCGCAAGTTTTTTTTCTAGCCAATCGCGTAGCGTGGAATTAAATGCAAAACCAAAGCAAATGTGAATTACTTCCAACAGGGTGCCAACTCTTATCTCTGATGAATTGTTTCTAGTAGCCCTCACCTCGAAGATTACAGATTTTCATCTCGAGTTGTTCCCTCTTATTTCTTGCTAAATTCATTTGCAACTTGTATGAATCTGGAAACATGACAATTTAGTTGGACGCGGTGGATGAAATAAAAATGTTGCTAGAATGTTGAAAATATATAGAGGATATTGCACGGTGGCGAGAAGCTATGAATTTTATGTTCGAGTGGCAAGAACAATATCTCACGAGTGAGCGCAGCGAACGAGAATACCCTCTAGCTATTTATTATATGGCAGTGTCTAGCAAGGACTGGGAACTACCGAATTCACGAATTTGGGTGTGTACTTCTTGGCTGAAATCTAGACCGGAAGTGTTTTGCGGTGAAAAAGTTGCAAACTGAAATGCAAAAATATTGACTATTTTCTTCTAACAATATTTATTTATCGAAGTGCCTAAAAGCCTGATGAGAAAAAAAGTACGGAAGACGAGCAAACTTTGGCAGAATTAAGTTCAGCTCATGGCCGTTCGCAAGCAAAATACTAGTTACCTACAAACCAGTTACATTAAACGAATTAAATTGTTCTTGTTTGCCATATAATAAACATCTTATTAACCGAGCTTAGTCGGTCTGTATGGGAGAGTCTTGACCTCGGTCGTGTGTACTTACGAGATCTCACGACGTTGGTCAAGATTTAGCTCTTATTAACCGAGCAGGTGGTCTATATGGGAGAATCTTGACCGAGGTCTGTGCACACGACCGAGGTCAAGATTCTCCCATACAGACCGACTTAGCACAGTTAATGAGATGTTTATTACATGGCAAAGAAGAAAACTTTAATTCGTTTAATGTAACTGGTTTGCATGCAAACGGAGATGAACTTAGCTTAAACCTGCCGAAATTTGCTCGTCCCCTTCACTTCTGTTTTTTTGCCATAAACGATTGAGGAGAAAATAAAAGGAAACGGTGAACATTTTTTGTATTTTAGTTTGCTACAATTTCAGCGCAAAATGAAACCGGTCTAGATGCCGGTCTAGACCGCGATCAATATCGATTTCAGCCAATCAAATTCGTGAATTCGGTAGTTCCCAGTCCTTGTGAGACACTGCCATATAATAATCTCCCATACAGACCTCCTGCTAAGTATTTTACGCACAAAAAATAAATTAAACTCTTTTAAAACAGACTGACCCATTTCATCAAATAATATAAATACTCAGAGGTAAAAAAAAGCACACAAACCTGCCTGACAAACAAAGGGGATATCTCCTTTTGTTGTCAGAGGGAAACAAAAGCTTTCTTTTCCAAACAACTTAGCAGCCACTCCTTGAACAGGAAACAAGGGGAGTGGGAATGAGCTGGCCTGCCGTCAGCTGTGCGAATATTTCCTAAATTTTGACTGCTTTATTCAAGATTCGCGTACAATCTTCTCAATTAATATTTCCTTCTATCTTCATTGTCTCACTTCGGACATATTTTAAGTTAGAAATTGCCTCTATGAACTCAGAACCACCAGACAGAGCGTGACTCACAGCAGAATAAGTCACGCAATATTTGACGGTCGTATAAAGAGTCTCTTATCGTGTTGGTTTTCGATTCGTGAACACCCCTCAGTTGGCCTTCGCGGCTACAAATGAGAAAGATGTCTTTGAATCTGGGATTTTCCTACTTCTTTGACAGCGCCATGCAAACTGCTACCAAACGTTTTGCGCATAAGAAACTCTGGTAAGTGAACAATTATGATTCAATAGTAATGAGATATGATTCACTGGCTTGAACTAACTATTTCCATTAATTCTCGTCTTTATACGCAAGTTTATATCCCTAACAAATCTTATATTTATATTATTAGGCAGTACAAGGGATTATATTATCACGTTGCAGTTTTCTTTTTTGGCAAAGCTTTGTTGGTTTCAATCATTTTGTCAACAAGGCTATTCAAATCTCTTCAATTGCAAGTCAGTTATTAAAATATTTTAATATACATTATATAATAATCAAATGAATGCGCGCGCTCTGATTGGTCAATCAGCTATGGTTTATTGTGCCAGTAAACTCATGGAGATTTCGTGTGTCTTCTGAATACATACATACATACATACTTTATTGGCTTGTCCCCTTGGGGCTTTTCAGAGTCAATTTTAGATTACAGAATTAAAAACTGGGTACATGACAATGATAAAAGAAGATGAAGGTTAATAAAATTAAATAAAGCAGTCATTAAGAAGCTTTTGCCTGAGTAAGCCCTTGAAATCCGTCACGGATGGGCTAAGTTTGAGCGCAGCCTGCAACTCATTCCACAAAGAGGTCGCTCTATATTGAAAGGTCCTTTGGCCGCTAGCAGTGCGGAAGAGTGGTATGTTCAAAAGTTGAGAGTTTCTGGTATTCCTTGCTGAGACGGTGGATCTTCTGACGAGCAATAGACCACAAGTTTTTATGGTTTATAGGCTGATAAACCTCCTGGGATGTTGGAAGAACACTCGAAGAATTCGTAAATCACTCGCCTGTGGCTCGTGATTTACAAATTCTTCTTGTGTTCTTCCAACATTCCTCGTGGTTTATCAGCCTATAAATCATAAAAACTTGGGGTCTATTGCTTAAATAAGATAAAATTTATTATCATTTGATGCATTTTTTTGCTCCCTTACCATTGGCCAGGAGCCCAGCTCGTGACCTGCAAATAACTGCTTACGAATAATGGTCTGCTCATGCACAGTACCATCTAAATGTGTTTTGCTGCAAACAATGTTCTGCTTGTGGGGTATTGTAACCACGTTCTCAGGTGAAAAATGGTAGATCGCTTCCCTGAGCTGTCAGAGGATGATTTAAATGTAATTAAAACAAACTTGGGCGATTGAATGATAAAACAGTTATCGAACTCGGTTATTGTAGAATACTCTGATTTGTCAGTGGCAGATCTTATTTGCTTCAGCCTTTGGCCTCGGCAAACAATAATGATCAGCTCGCCACTGACAAATCACAATATTTTGCTCAACCTCATCTAATAATTGTTAAATACCCTTTTTGCTCAAAGGGACAACAAAATTCATAGTCATTAAAAGTAACTTGATTGATTCACTGACTGATTCATTGATTCATTGAATAGATGAATGAATGATTGATTGATTGAGTGAGTGAGTGAGTGAGTGAGTGAGGATTGACTGATTGATTGATTGATTGATTGATTCACTGACTGATTGATTGATCTAGTGACAACTTTATGACTTACTTGATTGACTTATTAATCAATCAATTTTTCTTTTCCTCTAGGAATGTTGTTCTTCATGTTCTGACATCCTGGCCAATGGCCTGGGCAGTTCTTTGCATTGGCCGTAACTTTTTGCCGTTCTCGCTCCAATATATACTAATTCTTTTAAAGTGTCTCCTGTGCATTTTACAAGAGCCACCCATAGGGGTATGTATGTTCTTATTCCTTTAGGCTTCTTGTGGAGCAAAGGGTGTCGTAGGGGTGTGTTAAAGTACTAATATTAGGATTTCCCAAACAAATTCTCTGTACTATTCCTTTATAAATGTACATTCAAACCTCTTTTTAAAATAAAGATGCCACAGGGACAGATCTGTTAGTAGTGAGTATCCTTACAGAGCTGACCAGGGGCCTGTTTCTCGAAGGTCCCGAAATGTTTTTGCACCTGGAAAGCTGCAGCAAAATCTCAAACCTCATGATTACAGAGCTGTTTCATTCACATATTCTTAACATGAACAGAGGTTCTCTTCATACTAGAAGTTTCAGGTGTTTACATCTCTCTATTTTTAGATAAAGATTAACTAAAAATGGCTTTGCGGGCCCAAAAAGTTTCTGGGGCTTTCGAGAAATGAGCCCCTGGAGAGGTTTGGCTGTTAGAGAAAGAAGAATTCAGTGATGATCGACTATATATAAACCTGTGTTTACATAAGCAGACATAAAACAGTTACAAAAACAATCAGAGTGCAATTGATAAAATTATTAGATGTTGTAAAATTCAATGATAGGGAATTATTAAAATTTACATGATTTTATATTTTTAGCAGTCGAAAGTGGACTGAAAATTAATTTCCAGTGAGACAGTGCATTACTTTTAACCCCTTCCCTACCAGAGCCAAATGCCCTCTCCAACCAGCATCCATGATGGATTTTTTCAACATCCGGGGATAATGGGCCATTTCCAAGTTACCTTGTGCCTCTGTTTCAAAATGAGTCCTCATGCAAAACCTTTCGAATAAAAATGAGTGATTTGCGTGAAAATGAACCTGTAGGTGGAACTCATTTTGATATGAATGGTCTCACACAGACTCGTGTTGAGACAGAGGCACAAGGTAACTTGGAAATGACCTATTGATTCAAGCCAGGCTCTCAAAAATGTCCTTTGTTTGACAATGTATACATCATGTGTGTACATCCTTAGTGGTTGGGTGACACAACCTAGGGTGTATACATGTATACATCCTTGGTAGACCTAGGGAAAGTTAATAATGAAATTATCTGACTAAGATCAGGCCACCAAAAATATTTGGTTACGTTTTATCAGTGTGGTCATTAAAATTAAGGGCTTCCAATGTGAGCAACTAATCTGTATCTGTAGGTATTAATACAATGGTGAGACAAAGGCATACACCCATGCAGTTACAAATAGTAATGGCTCTAATCAAATATCTTTTGAGTTAATTTTAATATGCAATTTTTCTGGTTGTAGCGCTTTACTGTTTAACTGAATTATGTTTCAAGCTTCTAGTTTCACTTGTAACTTACAATATCCTCTGTTTCTTTTCTTACCCCTCAGTTTGTCTATTCCATAGTATACAATCTTGTTGCATACTATGCTGTATTTGTTCACACTGGCGTGACCACTTTTCAAGGATGTGTTGTCATTGGCATATGTCTTGCCTTTCAATTCTTGGGTCACGCCATCTTGGAAGGTACAACTCTGCAGCGGCTACCCACCAAAGAAGACAACGTATTATTCAAGGTTATGGATCTGGCCAATGAGTTCTTCTTTGCACCATTTCACTTCAGCTTAACATTAATGATCAGGTTCGATTCTCTACCAATTTTAAAGTGGCGTTCAGATGCAGCTTTGCACAAACTTATTACAGCGACACAAGAGCTCAAGTATGGTAAAAAGGGTCCATGAACAGTCAAGCAAATAAATATACAAGAAAAAGGGGAAAAAGAATGGACTACACAAGCTAGGAAATAACTCTTACTGATGACAAATTAAGTAAATACCAACACACACTTCCTGGTATTGTCTTTGCAGTGAACACTAAATTTGAACTCATTTTAATGACAAGCTATGTTTTATCACATTATTTTCAAATACTTTGTATGAAGGTCCATTTTAATGCATATAAAGCCTGAATTTCAGCTATCTCCTCAGGTTGCACCTTCACTCTTGAGACTGTGTGCAATTCAAGGAGACATTGAAATTTTGGCCAATACATGCAGGTAAACATTAGTGAAGAGATGTAGCATTTACATATAGCATTTAAATAACATTAAGAGACCCTCAAAGTAATAGATGTCAAAGAGGGAACAAGATTGGCAAAGTTTAGGGCTTTTCAAGATATACTGAAAAGGACAAGATTGGAACATTCTGCTGGTATTGTTGTCACTATCAGATGTTCTCTGAATGTCCAAGTTCACATAATTTTTCCAAGTTCGCACAAGCAACTGGTCAAATTGCTTGCAGAAGAAATATTTCTGAATGTCATGTTAAGCAGATTGGGAAGTCAGAGAAGAATTCAAGACAGAAGAAAGGGCTTGCTGTTTACCAATCCCTTGACTAAACTACATTGATAGCAACTTCACAAAACACAAGTTTTATGATAGTTGTAAGTGCAGTAGATCTTTTTCATCACCATTTTGATCTGGTATTTTAATTATTTATAATTTCTTGTTTCCCATTTTTACTGTGTGAATTTACCTCATTAGTGTTATTTTTACCCTTTTTACTAACTTTATATTGTGAAGCAAATTTGAACATTACTCTATGGAATTTGTGCTATATAAATATACTGTATTATTATATTAATCTCTGCAACGTTGTTGTAGACAGCAAGACATTAACTACAATTTTAGCCATCTCCTCAAGTCAAACACTCCTGAGAAGACTATGAAATAAGCCCATACTGTTGTCCAGTGGGATGATGCCGTTACTTTGCTGGCGTGTAAACAGGATGTAACACAAAATAACATTAGGGCTGAAATTCAGGCAAGCCAGGCATTCCATGATTATTCATTTACTATTGCCATGTCCTTATCTCCTGACCATTCAATTTTGAAGTCCACAATAATAATGTGGACTGACAGTGAAAAAAAAAATAATAATAATGGCAAGCAAACCTATTATCCCTGCTACTAATTTCATCTTGGGTTGCTCTCCCCTCCAAAACAAAACTTGAATGCCTGTTTTGGTCATTTTAAATAGGATATATTAGGTTCATCTAGGACTCAAAAGTCAACTTGAAATTCAACCAACTTTCTATCTTAGTACTGCTAAGTTTCAAGATGTTTTCTCTGTTCAATCTGTATCTTTCAAACAGTAGCAATAACAAATGCTTTTCAATGAAAGACAAAAAACCAGAAAGAAACTGACCTCTTGGGAAACTTCTTTTCAGAGTGTTAAAGCAATGTCTATGACTCATATTGTTTGATATAAAGTTTATTGCTCCTTCACACATCTACAAATAAGACAATAGTCAGGATTCGCTTGTTTTGTTTTATCTTGCACAACATAAACAGCCTAATCACATTGTTAGTCCTTGTCGTCAACTGAATGTCTTTCCCTGACTAGTGATCATAATATAAAAGAAAAACCATTACGTACAATTTCTTTCAAGTAAGTTACTGGTATCAAACTACTTAACAACTAAAATAAGAGAAATTTTTTCCAGTACCAGTGCTTTACTTTTTGGATTTTCTAAACAAACAAGGAATTGCAACTATCTTATTACAGTCCATCTCTGATTAAACTAGTGGTTGAAAAGAATTTTAGCATATAAAAATTTTAATTTAGATGCAAGCCTGTAAAACAAATCACCAAGTTACGTTATAAAGAATGATTATTGATTTCTTCTGGGCATACTTGGATTCACAAATATGATAATGTGACATAATTATTTTTTAAGTTAGGAAGAATAAATTTGTAATAATTTCACGATGACTCTTTCTCGTTTTCGTTTCCTTCTGATTCTGTTGTGTCAACTTCGTCCACTGTGAGTTCCATGTTGCTCATGTCTTCGACGGACACAATTTGGGGGATAATCCACTGAATGGGACGAGAGGAGAGGAGGTAGGTTGTCATGACTTGTGGGGGAACAAAGACGTGGCCAACAAGTCTGTCCTTTGCATCGGAAATCGGTTGAACAGCCTTCATCATCACATTTCCAACAGCAGCAGGCATGTCGGAGATGGAGTGAGCCTAAAAGTATCAATGTTAATGTCAATCACAGTTGTATACAGGACACATTACAACTACAATTTACTACTTCACTGTAGGGTTCTAGGTACAAATTATGATCTTTATCCACTTCAAAGTATTTAAGTTGCATTTGGATCTGATTATTTCAAAGCTGTTGGTGATCACAATGCTTCACTTCACAGCCAATGAAAATCAGCTATTCCCACAGCTAGAATTTCACTACCAAAGCAGCTGAAAACACTGTGATATGACAAGTTTTAAGTTTCAGTCACACTTCATGAGCTAGTCCTAAGGACATGCCGCACATAACCGCAAGATTAATAAAATTTAACAAGCTCTACACATTAGTATACAGTTTTCAAGGTATCTCCATGAGGGAAAAAACTTGTCAAGTTCACATCCAAAATACACATGGACCCCTGTAAACTGTCACAAGAAAGTCTACTTTGTGTAAACTTGTCCTTTTGTAGGCAAAAAAACTGTGAAAAGTTATCTTCTAATGTCTTATGAATATCACAGATGTGCTTGTGATTGACTCCCAACGCAAGCAAGGACACATTAAAACATGTTGAGTTCCGAACGCAAACAAAATTATTTTGAATTTAAAATGCTTATTATTGTTTGCATATCATGGAGCAGTACTGCACAAGTGAGGATCGAACATAAATCCCGAACTCAAAACCACTGACCGTTCAACAGTTTTTTTTTTTATAAGATGCTCATCCAAATTGATTTGGAGGAGCAGATCATTGTCTATAGTTGCCCTTCGAGGACAAATTAACAGTTATTTGAAAAACAAGGTATACCAAAAATTATGAAAAAAGATACAAATTATGTAAGTCACCCTCAAAAAACACCTTGATAAAAACTTCAGGGCAAGATGAAAAAAAAGGAGAGAAAAATTCTTATAATACTTCCATATCTATGTTCTGATCATCTTTAATTATTTTTATACATGTCAAAGCATGTTTTTAGAGGGTATCAGACTTCATTCACCACAGATTGGTACCTTTGTACCTTCACTATAAATTTAATGAATGAAAATTTGCAGTTGAAAAATGTTGCCAATTCTATGACACATCTGTACTCTGCACACTAGGAAAGACAAACTTGGAAGAACAATTTAATAAGTATGACCACAAACACAATTCAAATTTTACCTCAGTAAGAGCAAAAACCAACTCCTTTGCCGAGACGATGACTTCTCCTGTGAGTCCAAGGGCCATGTTGGGGATGTACATGGATGCACTGTACACCTTTTTGCTGGCATCAGTCGTCTTTCCAATCAAGGCAGATACCTGTTCCTGTAAACTGCTAACCTGTTAAACAGGAATTACATTCAGATCAGTATAAAACAGGATGTGCTTGACACTGAACTCTTACATGGTGCAACCTGATGTCTCAGTCTGTGAATAAAATCTGAGAGAGTAGTAATACAAAGTCTTAAGATGTTCACGTACATGTAACTATAGATAAGAATGCATCACTCTAGCCCAATCAAGTATGGCATTTACTCAAACCCTGTGCATACCGTATCAACACTGANTTTTTTTTATAAGATGCTCATCCAAATTGATTTGGAGGAGCAGATCATTGTCTATAGTTGCCCTTCGAGGACAAATTAACAGTTATTTGAAAAACAAGGTATACCAAAAATTATGAAAAAAGATACAAATTATGTAAGTCACCCTCAAAAAATACCTTGATAAAAACTTCAGGGCAAGATGAAAAAAAGGGAGAGAAAAATTCTTATAATACTTCCATATCTATGTTCCGATCATCTTTAATTATTTTTACACATGTCAAAGCATGTTTTTAGAGGGTATCAGACTTCATTCACCACAGATCAGTACCTTTGTACCTTCACTATAAATTTAATGAATGAAAATTTGCAGTTGAAAAGTGTTGCTAATTCTATGACACATCTGTACTCTGCACACTAGGAAAAACACACTTGGAAAAACAATTTAAAAAGTACGACCACACACACAATTCAAATTTTACCTCGGTAAGAGCAAAAACCAACTCCTTTGCCGAGACGATGACTTCTCCCGTGAGTCCAAGGGCCATGTTGGGGATGTACATGGATGCACTGTACACCTTTTTGCTGGCATCAGTAGTCTTTCCAATCAAGGCAGATACCTGTTCCTGTAAACTGCTAACCTGTTAAACAGGAATTACATTCAGATCAGTATAAAACAGGATGTTCTTGACACTGAACTCTTACATGGTGCAACCTGATGTCTCAGTCTGTGAATAAAATCTGAGAGAGTAGTAATACAAAGTCTTAAGATGTTCACGTACATGTAACTATAGATAAGAATGCATCACTCTAGCCCAATCAAGTATGGCATTTACTCAAACCCTGTGCATACCGTATCAACACTGAACTTGACTGGCCCGTAGGACATAAGCGTTGTCTTTCCTCTGTTTTTGTAATGCTTCAGCTTCCTCCTTCCTCTGCGCAAAACCATTCTTTTCAGGTTCTGGGCTCTAACTATGGCTCCTTTAGAGGCATCTTCATCAGCAGTTTCCAGTTCTTTCATGTCTTCATCACAGTTACCGTCAGTTGGCAGTGCTACCTCAGCAACAACTTCAGTGATGTTCAACATCCCATCTGTAGTAGCAACCATCATCTTGACAACAGAGCTATTCTGTACTTTATTGTAGTACTCGGATGCCGTGTTTGTGACAGTTGACTTGATCTAGGAAAGCAATGATATTTAAGATAAAATGTTACGGTAAACTTCTGAATTGGCAAGATCCAAGCAAGAAATCTGCAGCACTCCCAAATAATCATGGCTTTTAAGTTTCTAGACTGCAACTTTTAGTCTTCAAAATAAAATGTTTAACCTAAACTATTAGTTTACAGTTAACATATCCTTTAAGGAAATTCCTTTCCATTTTCTTTCTCGGTTCCATAACAAACTGGTAACTTCAATTCCACACAGAAAACATTTCAGCCAGTTTTGAACAATTTTAAAATGGTTGAGAAAGATGTTCTCAGAATGAAGTTTCAGCACAAACATCAGCCACTTGTAACCCCCAAAATAGATGTGCGTCACATGTAGGAAAGGAAGTAAGCCAAGACATCTTACCTCAGTGGGGGTCTTCGTGATGATGGGGCATTTCTCCTCAACCTTGGCCAGAGTCTCTGATGCAACACGGTCAATGGTTGCAGCTGNAACTTTTAGTCTTCAAAATAAAATGTTTAACCTAAACTATTAGTTTACAGTTAACATATCCTTTAAGGAAGTTCCTTTCCATTTTCTTTCTCGGTTCTGTAACAAACTGGTAACTTCAATTCCACTCAGAAAACATTTCAGCCAGTTTTGACGAATTTTAAAATGGTTGAGAAAGATGTTCTCAGAATAAAGTTTCAGCACAAACATCAGCCACTTGTAACCCCCAAAATAGATGTGTGTCGCATGTAGGAAAGGAAGTAAGCCAAGACATCTTACCTCAGTGGGGGTCTTGGTGATGATGGGGCATTTCTCCTCAACCTTGGCCAGAGTCTCTGATGCAACACGGTCAATGGTTGCAGCTGTAATAAGAAGATATAAAGAATTATATACACGTATATTTTATAGAAAGAATCAGCCAACACAAAATCCTTTTACTAACTCAGTGGACTCCCAATTTTTCAAACCACTGAGGGGTACATAAATGGGTTAGCTTCAGTGTTGAAAATTTGGGAGGTTTGAAAAATCAAGGGTACATTTCTCCCAATACTTTTGCCAAGGGAACAAAATATTGCTTCAAATAATTGGGAGGTTCGAAAAATCACAGGTTCAAGAAAAAGGGATACCACTGTGATTAAAATACAAAAATTGGAGGGAAAACAAAATTTTGGTTCAATGTTTGGGTGAAATTCAGTTGACCAGGATGGCAGACCAATTCCCGACAGTACCTGATCACAGGGCACAGACACTGTCCAATTACATGCATGAAAACTATCCAGTTACACTGATATGAAGCCAAGACCGCCCCAAACCCAATGAAAAGGGATTATATTTTGCACGTAGAAACACGAGGAAACTCGCAGTCAAATCATAGATTTTATCAATCGACTTTTAATGAACAATTTCTGTGAGATTTCCCTATAACTCCCAACCACTTGCGATCAATGTAGCATACTTCTGTCGAAAACCGTAACTAACGGAAAGATAAACAACGGCACAAAGCGTAAGGGTCGTGATCAAAGTTCAAGAACTCGTCGATAGCGATATAGATACGAACAAGATGTGCCTCATAAACAAAGGTATTTTTGACGGAAATTCACTGCAACATTTGTGTAAGACGACAAATAAATTAGCGAATCTGTCAAATTAAGTTCGTCACGGTGAAAACAATGGACGAAAAAAAAAAACTACCACGAAACCAACGCGTGCTCAATCGATCAAACTTTAGCTTATAAAATGTCGCAAGCTAATTTAAGAATACGTGCTCGAAATCAAAACAAATTTTCGCTGTCGACGCTTACCAGCGCATTCAACTGTTCCAACGATGGGTTTAGACAGTGAATAGGTGTTTGCTGCTTCTATTATGGGCTTGGTGGCAGCATTCGCCATCTGAATCGTGCTTTCACCAGCATTACAAGCCATTCTGGTCACCGAATTTCGTTCTTTCACTGCATTGTAAATTTCAGTGAGTTGACCGACGGCAGCCCTTGCTACGGGCAGGTCCCAAAAACGAGTCGTGAAAGACTTGTTATCTGCTTCAAGAGTCATCGCGACTTCAGAGGCCATGTTTCTTCGTCAAGTTTAAGATTTCCTTGCGATGCCACAACGTTTACCGCTTGCTACTGTAGATCACAAGACTTATCAAACCGATCAGAATACAATCTTTATTGCGAAGAGCGTCGGACTTTGGTCCCGGTAGAGCCGATTAAAATTATCCAATCATAACAGTTGTAATATAAAACACTCTTTCGCATGGGCAATTAGACCAATCAGAAAGTCCGTAATGTTTGTTTCAAATGATGTAATCACCAGTTCCAGAGTACTTCTCGGGCAAAGTTCGTGGGACACCAGTCCCACGTGACTGGACACGACCTCTGCTCTTTTATATTTCAGTATCCTCCTTTCGAAATCTCGAAATGTGTTCACAAATTCTTTATTTATACTTTGGGTGATACCATTTATCCAGTGGCAAGCTCAAGCGGACTTTGTTTTGTAAAAGAGTGCGTGAAAAACGGCCAAAATAGAACATTCATGTGACGACGTGACAAAACCCCCGAAAGGTCATTCAAGGTGAATACCGGAAGTTGTTCTTTGCACTGGGTACGTAACGTTCCAGAAACAAAAGGTTCAAAGATCTCACAGCGGAAGAAATAGCGAACACTCACGGACCAAAATAATCGGATCCTGAAAAAAAAAGTATGTAGTTTTTTCGGTATTTTAAATAACACAACATTATCTGAACAGTTCGCTGAGGAGAAAGCCAAAAAATCGTATTTTACTTCTGGTATTAGCGGGGTGTTATGTTTATCAACAGTCAACTCTCGTTACCGCGGACATCACTTCGTGTCCATATTAAACAGCGAGAATAGCCTGGTGTGATGAAAATGACCCATTTCTTGTTGTGAAGTGTCACATATAACGTATATTGCGATAATCTTTTAAAATTTTCATTTTCTTTCAATTTGTGGTACGCACCATTTACAACTTACAAAGGTCTTACATAACACAGGAGCCTTCAGTTGTAAAACGCTTGTATTTACGAGAAATCAAATCTGAAAATCTGTCAACAGTCAATAAACTCCATAATTACACAATTCCACAGGGGACAAAAGTTCTTCGACTTAGTTAGGGCTTTCCACGAATATCACGTAAAATCGCCTTAATATTAGAGAGGTTAAGCATGACGTTTACGGCAAACGGCAAACGGCAAAAATGGAACTTTTGCCGTCTCTCTTCAGTTGTGTGTACAGTAGGGTGAAATTATTTGTATTTGCAATGAATAGTAGGAGAAGGTATTCCATTTTTGTGTGCTTTACTTACGGATTAGAAGAAAAGAACTCAAAATCAAAAGTTATCTTTGCCGTTTGCCGTCTGCCGTTAACGTCATGCTTA